CTCCCTCCCTCCCTCCCCCCTCTCTTTCGCTCTCGCTCACTCGCGCATTGCATCCAAGAGGTCAGGACAGTGTGGATGCTCCACCGATTGATTCTTTGCACAAGTAACCGCTTGGTGCATGCCAGGTTCCGAATCTCCGAGTATGCTCAAGTATGCTCAACCGGCTTGCTGTTTGTTTACATGCAAGGCCCGGTTTCACAGTGCACTGTGGATGCCGAGCTGTGTTTACGTCCTCCGCGTCATGCGACTGAAAACCTCAAGCCAAATTCTTATGTTGGCGAGCAGGGAGTTTCCCTTTCCCCTGAGCCCGCAGAAGAGCCACGGAGGCGGATGAGCAGCAAAAGCCTCAGGCCAGCAGTCTAACATTCTGGGCTTTGGTAGTTTTGCACAGGATCTTCTGGCGGTTCTGATGGCACAAAGGCAAGGAGATGCCCATGCCACGAAAATGCCGCAACAAATCCCTAGTCCTTGTCTTGAAACCAAAGCCTTGTCGCCTTGGTCTCCGGAAGCCCACAAAACGCTCTTTCCATTCACAGGGCCATTGCCTTTCGAAATCGTCGCATTCTGCCGTTTCCTGAACTCTACCTCCCTTGAGCTCGCAGGAGCAACTCCTCTCTAACAAGCTTCTGCTTGAAGCTGCAACTAATAGCAGCAATACTTGCATGCAAGACTGTGCCCTCCGATGTCCTGCAGACATGACCTCATCCCGATTCTAGATGGAGGCATAAACAAAAAGCTTCTCAATGTTGGGGTCCAGCAGCAACACCAGTGCAACGGCGACGAGAGGAGTGGCAGCCCAGCACACGAGCAGGTTCATCTCAGTCCACCATTGAAAATTCACCTGAGAATTCAGGTATTTTGATTGTGTCTTGTGAAGATACGGGCACTAGGGACCTCGCTGCGATTGTACAGGGCAGCTGGTCCTTCGTAATGGCATGAGCATCCCCAGTGACCCCGTGTGTGTGTGTGTGTGTCCTCCGTCGAGACTAAGACCAAGGGCATTCACGCTAGCCCCGGGGTAGCGCACACCCGAGCGAATTCGGCTCTTCTTCTGTGATGATGCAGATTATGCTCCGGTCTGCTTGTGTTATCTTCAAGCACGGTTCGCTGCCCTCCGGCGCGCAGGAACCACTACTGTACCAGGCCCTCTTTCTACTGCACCTTCTCCTTAACTCAACACTTCAGTTCTAGGCCGAACGAATCAAACCGAGTCCGACGATGCCTGTGAGCAGTTCAGTGCAGGCAGGGATCTAAGGCTTGTCTCGCTGCCGATCTCGTCTCCGAAAAATACTCCTTGCAGTCCAAGGCTTCTGCGGTGCTGGGCTGCAGGAGGCAAACTCTATGCTGGGCACCGGCCCCTTAAAATGTGCCCAGACACCGTAGCCCCTTTCCTCGGTAGGGTTCTAAAAGTGCTGTGGGCAGGGCTGACTTCGCCCAGCGTCGCTGTGAAAGACGCCTGTCAGCTCTTCCATTTGCGCTTCCAAGGCCTGCCAAGGGATCCAAGGGTTGCTGTATAGTAGCATCCCTTATTTCAATCTGCTCCCAGTGACAGCCATCCTAGAGAGGCAACAATCGAAAGCTCAACAGAAAAGTACAGTAACCATCATCACCTCCTGCGGCTTCATCATCCAAGAGCTTCCTGAAGTCCCGAACTCTTCACGCATTATGCTAGGTTACTCTCCAGACGCCTTTAGGCCTTTGCATGGCTTCAGCACAGCTCAGAACGGCCAGTGCTTTATTTAGGGCGAAACTTTCTTGGTCAAAGGCTTCAGTCCGGCATGTTTCTGTGACCATGAGTTTAGGGTTTAAGGGTGTAGGTAGGGTCCTTAGGGTGTTAGTGCTTAGGGCGTTGAAGAGTAAGGCCTTGCCGTGTGCCGGTTGCAGCATGCAGGGCAGCGAAAACAGCCAGTTGTCTGAAGGAAGAGTGCCATCCTGACGGTAGCATCTGTGAGAGGGACAGCAGGCCGACTGTTCATGCGCAAGTGGCTGCTACAGGTGTAGCCGGCAGCCTTCAGTTGTTAAAGTGTATAAAAGTATAAAATCCTCAACCCTGCAAACCAAAAGCCCAAACTCCCTGATCGACAGCGGTCCGTGATTGCAAGTAGCCCGAGCAGCCTCAGATGTTCGCTCTGCAAGCTTGCACGCAGCAAAACCAGTGAGTGAACCCTACCTCGCTGGGCCCTTGACACTTCTGCCACACTGCGCCGCCAAAACACGCCTATCACATCTCACAACATCGGTTCACTACCGGCTCTGTACAGGCAACTCACATCAAGCAATCCTCGACTCTACCATTCATCACAGTGAAGAAAGTCGCAGTACCAGGCGTACCGATGTTCCCCTGACGAAGTCTCGCGGCTGGTATATGACGGGGTCGCTGTAGCCCATGCGCATAGCGGCACGAAAGATGGCAGACCTCCACGCAAGCGCTTTAAAGAGTTTGCTGTGGGGGTCTTTCGGATTTATCTTCCCTCCGATCCGTGCTCGGAGGTCTGTGTTGAGGGGCGCAGTACACACACACACACACACACACACTCGGACTGAATTCAGATGAAGCTTGCAACGCAATGAGCAGGAAGCCACACCTTCAAAAAAGGTGGAAGTCGCAATGTTCATCATAATTATGCGGGTGACGTATGCTGATGATGAATCTTGCTGCTGGTGCTGCTGCTGGATGGAGGTGCCGGCGATGGTGCTGGCAGCTTGCAGTGAATTCTGATTGCGAGGATTGAATAGAGCCAGCATCGTGATCATCATCATCATCATCATCATCATCATCATCATCATGATGCTTACTGGTGCCGTCTCGACTGCCATTGATGTTTGTCTTGCTCGCTTTTCAAGATTCTTACTTGTAACTAACCCCGTGAGCCATCCCTAACCGCTGACACAGTTCTGCATTGTGGAAGAAACCAGGCGAAGAGCATCATTGAGCTGCTGCCGGGCGGCGACAGTACGCTAATTGCGAGGCAGTGATTCAACATCATCTTCCTGTAGCGCAATCAAGCTCTGTGGCAGTTCAAGCTCGCAACTGGAAGACACAAGAATCCGAAGCTGCGGGTACGCTTTCGCTCACGGGTACAGGGGAAGATACTCGACAAAAGCCGCGAGAAGCTGCGAAGCTGCTCGTGTCAGGCCCAGGTGTGACGTGCCACGGGTGGCGAACGATGTGCCCGCCCCAACCCTAAACCCCATGACCCTAATACCTAAACCCCGATCGAGATCCTAATCCTCGAACATCTCAACATGGCCGCAGTCTCGCAGCTTTCGCAGGCTCAACCCATTTCCAGTGCTCCCCTGGCCCGATCTATGAATAAAAAATCTTCTGAAGGCGGCTCCGACTACACCTATGCCCGTATCAACGGCAGCTGAAGGCCAGGAGTCAGGAGCACCATGTGGCAGTGCGGCGACGCGGACGCCTGGGACTCACGGTTTAGCAGGCTAACGCTTCCGTCTATACGGTCTCAAGCTTGAAAAGCGATGCCTGCACAACCAAGCCGAACTTCGGCCGGGCAGAGCTTCAGCCAAGGACCGAGGCTCCTACCTGACCTATTCTGTCCCACCTGCTGTCATCCAAAGAGAAGCAACCACAAGCTCGACGACAGGAGACACTGCGAACCAGGGCGACCGCGCAGAAGAGGTATGTAGCCTTGATCGAGGAAAATATGCCACTCGGGGAGCTCCAGGATGAGACCATGGGATGCAGCCACTCTATGTTGTCAGAGTGCACGACATGCCATGGTACCTGATTAACAGCTTTTAGGCAATGAAAAATGTCTCGCTGTCAGTGAAGTGAGGTTTTGCCGGGAGTCGACGCAGGCCACAAATGCAACTATGGCGATCGCAATGTAGACCTCCCTCGGCAAGCACCTGGCGGGAGATGGTGGCGTTGCATGAGATTTTGCAAATTCTGCTAAACCTTGTTTTGCCTTCTAGAACCGTTGGTTGCCCCTTTTGCACCGCTCAGAGTCATAGGAAATCTTAGCAGTCTTAGCAATACACCATGTCCTGTCTTGAACTCCAACGGTGCATCAGTTCCAAGCTCCAAGGTAGCTCCTCTCGTGTCCGCTTCCCGCAATGTCTGTCTGCGCAGAGCCATTTACACTCAATCTTTTGGGAGAATGACTGCAGTCGGCGATCTCCTATGCTTAGCCATCAAGCTCAGGCGACTTGCTGTGGTAAAACTCGATTCTACATATGTTGCCGGCGCGAACTTGTGGCACATGAAGTTGCAGGTGGTGCATGGTGGTGCTGGGATGCGATGCTTGTGCAATACGAAGGGAACCTGCGGTTGTCCCACTGATTAGTCTGCGACGCTGGCCCTACGCAGGCCCGGGAAAAAGTATGAAAACTCCGAGCTAAGGACTAGCAGGTAGTTCTATAGTAGCCCACCACACTGTGTGCGGCTCAGGCAGGCGCACGTCGCAGCTTGGGCTGCTTCCTTGCAAACATGCAAGATGTCGGAGCACGGGGTGACAATAAATTACGCAGCTCTGACATTGTGACATACGATGTCGCCCGTACGTCAGCAAGAATCCTCGCGCCTGGCTGCCCCGAACTCGACCCACTCGTAGCAACATGCGACAGGATACAAGTTGACAAACGGCTGCCTGCAATATTCAAGCTGAGATTCCACGGCCAGGCATGCAGGCGAAACACTGGCGCCTGCAATACGGCACATCATGAAACCATCAAAAACAAGGAACAGATGGCGAACGAAACCTGTGCACTGAAGATGCGCTCTTGGCCTTTACAACTATACAATCTCTGAAACCACGTTCAACCTCTCCCACACTCCATTAATCCTGTGACGGTTGGTGGAGGGCCATGTAGTGTCGCGAATATGCTCACCACGTCTAACCGATCACGAACTGTCAGCATGTCATGCATGACAACCCCAAACTCCAAAGAAGAAATCACGGTGCCCTGACACAAACCCTAGACAGATTCAGATCTGAGCAGTCGGATCATCCGAGGCGGATCTGTTTCTGCGTCAGAATATCCTGCATGTTTTGCTAGGACCTGAAAGGAACTGTTCATATGTATACCCTTCCTGATTTGGCGCACCCTGTCGCACCGTCAGCACAACGACCCGCAGAGAGGCATGCCTGCCCAAGTCAACAGATCAGCGAAAGCTGCGCCCTCTTGCTTTTTGTTTACCTCCCGCCTGGTCATGGTTTCGGGTTTAGGGCTTCTTCTGGGAGGTCTCAGGACCGAATCCGAAACTCCACCAGCATGGGCCTGCTACTGCTGCAACTAGTGTTAGGAATTCCTGAGCAGGGAGTGTTGACTCTCGCTAATCCGACACGACGGTTGAGGACAAAACGTGATTCGAGATGCATGCGGGAGTGTGGCCCTGCACTCTCCGTACCAGGAAAAGGGTCCACCGTGCGGGCTCAGGTCGTGGCGCGGGTAGACGGAGTGTATACCCTTAAACCTCCGGGCTACTCGTACAGGTAGGCTTGCTCTGAACAACAGATCCTGATGGCACTCAGGCAACCTGGCCTGGGGACTTACGGCGCATCGTTCCACACCCTGAGATGTCAACTTGCTCTGTACGACTGTACGAGTACTTGCACAGGAATCCCAAGTCAACAAGCACCCATTCATGGAAACTGCAAAGATTCTGAGGGCCCCTCACTGACTCCACAAAAGTCCTGATGCTTTCACAGCAGCGAAGTCGGTGATGTTGGTGGCTGGATCCTCAACTCCGGTCTCCAGACTTTTTTTTTTTGACACCTCTTTTCCNNTTCCACCTGCCTGGTTAGTTAGGTCGAACGCCAAGTTGGCTGAGGCTGTTGCTTCTCCAGACTTTACGATGTAGGATTTAGATAATTTAGATTCAAGGTCGACCGATGGCAAGCTCGGCCAAACAGCATGCAGCTCCGGCACTGACTGATGCATTGTTAACAACGCCTCTTTCGTTCCAAGGATTCAGGTACTGTAGCATCTCTCTCTGAGTCTGCAGCTCTCATGACAATCAATTCTGGCCGAGCAGCCCAGAGAGCATAGTAGCCATCTTCCTGAGCGTTGCGTTTAAAGATTGGATCCGGTGGGAGGTCGGTTCCGCTGACCTCGGTGAACCTGACCCCGGGGTCCTGAGGTGCTTTGGATGAGAAGCCACTCCTGCCTCTCGAAATCCTTGATCCGGAACACCAGCCGTTTTTTGCTGTGACCGGGTCAACAGTCGGCCGAGCATCGTTGTCTGGTTGGACACGGCCAGCGATGGGGCTGATGACGCCAACGGTGTCCTGAGCCCAACTTCCACTTCTGGGAGCCCGAAACCCAACAACCCATAGTTACAGTTGCATGGCCCATTTGCTATTGGTATCTTCTCTTATAGATATATTTCTGTCGGCACTGTGCATTGTCCGGGCCACTGGGCCAAGCGGCTGGGATGCACGAGGTCTGTCCCCAGCTCGGCTGAAAGGAGCCGATGGCGCATGCCTGACGAGCTCATGGCCGTGCATGAGGTCTAAGGAGCAAGAGTCTTCAGAGGATAAGCCGCAAAATGGAATAAAGAAGTGGCGCTGCACACACGCATCATGAAACAGGTTACTACCATGGTCTGTCATGCGAGTTCCTAAAAGCTCTGCGGAATGACACCAAGTCTCGCACTTGCGCTTCGAACCGACGTGCGTCGCAAAGCACAAGTGAAACACGATCCCAAACTCTGCGCCCTGACTGTCTTCAGTTCATTCTATATCTACTGAGGTAGTCTCTCATCTTCTGCACACCACACAAGGATGTTATTTTGTGCTGCGTGCTTAGGTCCTGTACGTTGTTGATATATGCTCAGCACTTCAAGTATCGTCCTGATTAGTTCCCAAATCGTCACGAGGCCGACGCAGACCTGCCTATGTATGTATGTGTGTGTATATACCTTTACACATACATCTCTAAAAAACATATGCATAAACACATGCATACATACATACGTACGTACGCAGGCACGTGCCTGCGTGCATGCACATGTGTACATATATATATATATATATATTTGTATGTATGTATGTGTGTGTAAATGTACATTGCAATTGTTTGCTCAATTATTTGTATGTGGTCTAGACAATATTTGCATCCGGATCGCATGGCCTGACAGGAGATGCCAAAACGGGAGCTGAAGCGCCCGGGCGAGCACAGGGTGCAAGAAGACCTGGATGTCTAGAGTCTAGTCCTCTCACCCACATCAAACGGCTCTGGACCCTTTTTTGCAACTGGCTTGCAACGTCACGCCAGGACCGAGCCTAAACCCTTGAGGGCTTGCAGCCGGAATGAATATGTTCAGGACTTCGACTCTGAATTCCACCAGGCAGGCGACTGGCATTCTCCAAATATGGTTCTGGGTTCTTGCAAGATCTTGCAAGACTTGAGTGCATATGCATGACCTTCATCCGATACGCCCTGCAGCAAAATCTCTGAAGCTCTAGACGTGCGATAACCTCAAGCCCATGTATCCTAAATCATCGAATGCCCACCCGCATCTGTTTTGCGTCTGGTCTGCGTGCATGAACCATAGCCGAACCTCTACAGGTGCACATCGTCGAGCAACAAGCTGTTCGGAATTTCTGTTCAAAAGCTCTTGCCCGCACTCCATGAGTACATGTCGTTTCGAAACGAGAATCTCGACCCTGTACACCCGAAGCCCGCTGCACCGTATCCTCTGAAGGGGAGAGACTACAGAGTCGATTCCGGAGCATACGGGAGTCAAGCTGGCCAGAAAAATGCCCTCAAGACATGCACGCATCCAGTAGTGCCGACGTGAACCCTGTCAAGTCAAGAGCATGGCAGCTTAGCTCATCTGCACATCTCCAATATCTATCTTCCCAGTACATACGCCGCATCACAACAGCCAACATCTCTTTGCTATCGCCTGAAGGAAACCGGCCAGTCGCCTACACATTTAAGGAACAAACTCAGAAAATCTTCTATGCCCTTGTAACCCTGCAGCACCGTTTACAGCACCTGTCCGATGATGCAGCATGCAGCCCCACACACCAAGTTTTGTGCACATGTAGAGGAAGATCTACACCGTTCATCAACCGCCGACCTCCGACGACCAAACGGTCCCAAACTCGACTCGGTTCCCTTGCCGGCCTTCCGGATCGCTCTGCCACGCTGCCCTCAGCGCAATGTTGGCAAGCTCTGAGCCCGACCTCTGGATGTTTCGGAATTCCTGTTTCTCGTCTGACCGACCCTGCTCCACGGTTTTGAAGGCTTAAGTTTCGGTCCCAAAATTCAGGGTTTGGGCTTGTGGGGGCGGGGGTGCAGTTTGGTGTCGATTAGTGTATGACTGGCTGGAAGTGGACCCGGACTTGCTGAAGCCTTCCTGCAGGTTTTGTGATTTCTGGATGTTTGTAGCTTCACGCATGTGTCAGCCCATTCCCCATGCCTTCAAAAGTAGAATGGCAGTTCGACATGATGGCCCTTGGAGTCTGACGTGAGGAAACTTCAAAAGGACGGCATCGCCAGGACACTGCGTCCCAGCCGGCATTCGCATGTTCAGCTAGAACAGGCAGGAGAGTTGCAGCATGGAGCCCAGAGTCCCGTCTGCACTGCTCCTTTCAAAATCTAAAATCTGGGAGGACCTGCGCAAGCCTGCATCCCTGGAACTCTTCGCTGAATGTCGCTTTCAAAGGGCTTGATAGGAAAACAGTCAGGTACAGTGTAACATAGTCCCAGGATGGAACCCGGCTCCAGACCAGCCCAACAAAAAGGCAACGCTCAAGCGAAGACGAACGGTGAAGCCAAAACCCAGCTCGCCTGTGGCGCGAAGTGCCCGACAGGACATGGCCTGAGCACCACAATCGCGGCCAATGCGAGGCAAAGCGAAAGAAGAACCGCCCGAGATACAAACTGTTGCCAAATGATTTCTCTTGGCTACGATCAACGTCATCATCGCCATGGTGTTCAACATGAACACCAGCATCATGAACATCTGTCACCACCATCACCGTCATGATCACCAATCACCCACACGAGGCCCCACCGCCAATCAACATGGCGATCGCCAACATCCTATCATCATCAGGTCATCATCACCACCATCATCATCAGCATCATCCTCAGCATTTGCAGCATCGTCATGATCGTCAGCAGCCGCATCATCTTCATCGCCATCATCATCGGCATCAGCATCAGCATCATCACCACCATCACCAACATCATCTTCATTATCATCATCATTGTCATCATCATCATCCTCATCATTATCATCATCCTCATCATCATCATCACCATCATCATCACCAACATCATCACCATCACCATCACCAGAATCATAATCATCATCTACTTATTGCTGTTCATCTTCATCTTCGTCTTCATCACCACCATCATCATCATAATCACATCCTCTTCGCCAACGTCAAGAATGCCATCCCAACCATTATCATCATCACCACCATCACCATCATCCCCACCTGCGTCACAATCACACCTTGTCGGGAGCACGGCAGGGTAACCGCAGCGTGCAACACTGATCAGGGGCGGTTGCAAAAAGTCGGTCTGCAGGCGGGCACGCCACAAAATTGTGAGGGCGTTGGGGGACCATACGCATAGATGTACGAGAACAACAATCAAGCAAGACAAAATACATATGTATATATAGATATAATTCATATACAGGAACAAACCCACGCAAAAT